CCATCACTGACTAATGACATTGGCTGCACGACCACGCAGCGTATGTGCAACTGGAGACAGGCTGTGCACATATTCTTGCCCGTGTGATTGTCCCTCTTGATGCCTTCCTGCCTTCATTCAAAGGTACATTATAGGAAACAACCCTTCGCTACTGAAAAGTTGTCAGAAAGTACAGCTCTATCTTTTAGTTTGGTTATTCTCCATCATGTCCCTGGCTTTCTATGTGGCAGTTCTTTTTGTTTAAATTTTTTTATTTTTCGCTCTGCTATCTATTTAAGAAGGTTAACAATTCAGCAGGCTGTATGGCCTTGGTTAGTCATTTTACCTCTTTTGTCTTCATCTATGGAGCGAATAAATGGAATTAGATGATTTCTGAGGACCTTTTCAACTTTAAAGAACAATGTTTCTATTACTATGTGTATCCTGGTAATAAGTATCTACTAGGTAAGTGATGCTGACATTCTGTGTCATGACAGTAGAATGCCTGTAAAGGATGGTATAATACAGAAATGCTTGTACTGGAAACTTCATTTAGAAAGGAACTCTTTAGAGGAAAAAAAAAAAAACCCTTTCCTGTGAGGCATTTAAAGTTCTGGGGGGCGTGTGTGTGTGTTTATTTTGAGGTTGTTTGGATTCTGATTTTCCAAGCTGTCCTTTGGTTCCATTTTGGAAGCAGTTCCCTCTGACTTCCTCTACATAAATTATCATATCAAATGTAAATGTTCCTACACATACATTTTTGTAAGTGGACACATGGGCATGTTGGCATGTGTTTCGAATAAGGATCCCAAGCGGGTGGCATATAGCTGAGTGTTGATGGGCACACCTCAGTTTTGATACTATCAGTAAATGTTTTCTATTTCATACTTTTGTTATCATTTTCTTATTTAAAAAGGGGGAGAAAACAGAAAAGAACAAAATGTGTTGTTATTTGGTTACAACGGAAAGAAGAGATATCTTTATCTTTTCCCCATACAGTTTTTTCCCTCAGTGAAAAAAAAAAAAATTGTATTTCCTTAACTAATTCAGTCATATGTAAACCAATAAAAATAACAACTTAAAAATAACATAGCACATATTTTTATGGTGGCTTTATGGATTCAGGGAGAAAGGGAAGATACGAAAGGTAATGATTAAGGAAGAATGTTGTTTAGCTTTTCCAAGCTGCATTCTCAACCTAAATGGCATGGAAGAACGGCCCCACAGACAGCTTCAAGTGTCAGAGCTTGCAAAAGTCTCGACCATCTTTTCTCATTTGAATCAGTTTTTAAGAGACAAAGAGGCATATATAGGAGACTTGATCATTTCTAGAAAAACAAGTAGCTTGCCGACAGAATGGAAGAGAAAAAATTATCTCAGTTACTTATTTGCTCTATTCTTCTGATTATTTCCTACAAAAGGACAAGACAGACCTTTTGCCCTGGTCTTTATGACTGAACATGACTTAAAACTTATGTCAGGTCGGTTTCTAATCTCCTTCTCCACCTCCCGCCAAAAGCCTCTTGATTTCTTACTGCTAGAAAATCTAAATAATCCAGTTATTCTACCCTCCCATGGATTATTATAATTTCACTTTTACCGCATTCACAATGATTGAAGGAAAAGTGAATTTTTTTTTTTCCGAGTTCAGGGAATTTGTTCTATAAAAACTTACCACTTTTGCATCTTGTGTAGATTTAGCTATATAGACCTGTACTGAATGATTAAGCAAAACAACCTCATTTTAAATTGTGACTATATTTAGGGTTTCATGGTCCCTTGTCCCACTCCATTTGCTCCCCAATGCACACTGATTATTAAGGGAAAATATCTATTTGAAGTTCCACAGGATCTTCGATCCGGTTTTCATCAGTGTTTGATTTAACATGACATTTCCAATGGGCATAAGGGCCACATCGAAAGATGCCTGATGGTCTGTCAGATGATGGGCATGGGTGAGTTCAGGGAGATTACTGCTTCCTTAGCAGAACTGGTTGGATTAGCAACTTGAGAGATGGCACTTATTTAAAAACACGTGTACTGTCACTGATGACAGAATACAGAATTAAGGATATCATCAAGAAAATTAAACTCCAAGTGGAGAAATTAGAGTATGGCCTGGGTAGTAGGGATTATTGTTCATTTTATAGGAGTGATAATGGAATTCTGGTTATATAGGAAAATGTCCTTACTTTTCAGACATGCCCAATGAAGTATCTGGAAGTGAAATGCCATGATGTCTGTATTTAGAGTACTTCAGCAGAGAAAAAAAGGAGAGATTAAGCAAATATGACCAAATGTTAATAACTATTAAATAGAGTTAATGTATGCATGGATGTTTGTTATACTTTCTACTTTTCTTTGTTTGAAAATTTCCACAATAGTGAAAAAAACTAATTGAGATAATATTTTTTAATGCATGCACAAAAGAGCAGCATGGATTTAAAATTTCTCTGGACTGAGGCAAATTCGATGTTGTGAGGTGGGGCTTTAGTTCTTAGTGTATGGTCAGGAACTCATAAACCAGTATAAAATGAAGGTCTTGTGCAAAAATACTATTTATTTTTTTAAAATGCATGTAAAATTCTAGAACTGAAACTACAGTAAAAAAAAAATGTGGTAGACATTAAAAAATGAAGACATATTCATTTTTATTTACCTGCTCTAAATGCCAAAAAGTTTGGGGTTCTGACATCAGGGTGAGGTGGAATGTTCCTTGAAGAAGGTAACAGAAATTCAAAGGTTTAAGGACCTTGGATTCTCGAATGAGACCTTGAGAGATAATCAAAGTAGCCAGTATCATGGTATAATATGCTAACCGAAAGTCTGAAGCTAATGACATATTATGAAAATATAAAGGGTACTGAAATGATTTGGTTTTAATTGTCGTTGGCATTACCAGATTAATGTGCTTTTTAAAAATGCTTATTTTGTCTTTTGAATAGTTATTGCTATAGTAGCTGTGTTCTACCCAAGTAATGTAGTATTTTTTTGATATGTTAGTATAGCATTTGTTTGCCACAAAATGTGTGTGTTTATTTACTGATTCCCATGAGGCCACAGGGAAAAAAAATATATACCTCCAAAAGTGAAAGGATTGTTTCCATTGTAGAATTCTAGGAGGACCCAGCTTCAACTGGGTTGACTTCAGTTGCTCTACTGTTATCGTGACATTTAATACACCGCATTGATTTAAAAATATAAATATTACCTGCACAACCCTTGTAAGCCCCAGATTTGTTTGTAAAAGGAAGAAAATCTTTCCTTTGAACGCCTATTTATTTTTCAATTAATAAATATAAAATGGGCTCAGTTTGAAGTCCAGGGCCTCTGGTGAGAAATACGTTTCACCAAATCATTATCATCATTTGAAAATATTTTAAACCTATACTCAACATGGAGGTGATTTTTAATAGATATGAAGCCTCTGGTAAGCTTGCTCTCTCAAAAACGGATGCTGTTGATTTACTGGTAGCAAAGCCCAGCTCTGTGCTAGGAGGAGCAGGGGCCCAAATCTAGGCTCCTTGATTCCTTGGAATTTGCCTTTTAACCAGGGAAGGAGTGTGGTTCAATAGATAAAGCTCTGGACTGAAAAACACAAGATGAGGACTATTTTAAAGTCTTAAAATTTAAGTGTGTCTCTGAATTTTGCACTGCATGAATAAATAGTATTAAAAAAAAAAAAAAAAGAAAAAGAAACAGGATGCATTACTTCTAGGTTCCAGTCCTAGTTTTCCCACTAACTGCTGACCTCAGTGTCTTTATCTACCAATTAAGAGATCTCTCATTAAATAACTGTAGACATTTCTTCAAACTGTTTACTGTGGCAGGCACTGTTTTGAGTGCTTTACATTAAACTTCTTTAATTCTCACAACAGCTTCATAAAGTAGATATTCTGATTATGCCTAATTCATCAATTAGGATACTGAATATTCTGAGATAATCAAGTGCTGGGTAATCAGATTTTTAGAGGTGGGAGGGCCCATGGAAGTCGGTTATTCAGAGAGGTAGTACATTATGATGGTTAAGGGTGCAAACTCTATACTCAAAATATGTGGCTTTCAGACTTGGATCCTTTATTCATTAGGGATACACCTTAGGCAACTGACCTAACTAACCTTTGGCTCAACTTCCTCATCTGTAAAATGGGGCTGATAATAGAACTTGCATTATAAGGTCATTCAGACTAATGAATTGTGCTTAGAACTGTGTCTGTCAACTAGGGATTTCTCAATAAATATTATAGATGAGGATGAGGATGATATTGTAGGGACTAGGTAAGTAGAAACTATTGCCTTACTTAGAAGAATGTGTTACAGTATTGTTAAGAGATTAGGTCAGAAAAAGGCTGCCGGTGGTAGTGATGGCCTTGATGGAAGGAATGGAGTTATCATTATCAGTGATACAGAATGGTTTCTTAGAGAAAGAAAAGAATTTTAAGTTGAAGAAGCCAAGTGAAGAGGGGAATGTTGGCCTAAAAAGGCGGGAAAATGTGTTATATTGTAATTCAGCAAAAGTTTTTAGAAACACATTGACAGCAGTAATGCATATGGAAGGAGGCCCAAATTTGGGTGCTTATATGGAGTTATTCCAGTTTCTCTGGATCATCACAGACACATATAGAATGTTAGAGCTAAAAAGGACCTTGGAGATTGTCTTGTACAACCCCCTCATTTTACATTTTACATTTTCTATGAGGATAGAGTTTGCTGAAATTTGGCCAGTATTGCATTACAGTGAAGCCAAGGAAATTTGTGGGGATTTCAAGTAGGGATGAAGAGAAAGAGGGATGAAGTTCCTTCCACTTTACAGCGATGCCCAGGTAGGAAAGCAGGATGCAGAGGACGCAGTGATATTTACCAAATTAATTAAAAGAGGGAGGCAGAGAAGAGGGGAGAGAGAGAGAGAGAGGATGAGAACACTAATTTTATGCTGAAACAGTGTGTATTCGTAGTTAATGTTTAAAAGCCCGTGATAAAGAAAATTCTTTTTTTTTTATTTTTATTTTTTTTATTTCTAGGAACTTGGTTTCCTAAAATAGAAAGGAAGTTTGGCGGAGAGTTTGGCAGCGTTGATAGTTTACAGCAAATGAAGAATCAATCCATTTGCAGCTGGTGTTGAAACTAGTAAGCAGTTAATGTTAATCTGTTACTGTTTGGGATGACTATACCTTGGCTTTTTAAAAAATCACTTTTAACTAAATTTATGCTTACTGCTTTCTTTTAAATAACGGAGTGTCTCAATAGTAACTAATCAGTCAAATTAATTTTGTGTGGAGTTCTGAGCAGGGGAAGGGGCAGAAATCCTCTTTGGAACACTGAAAATGCTTTGCTGAGTTTCCTTTACAATTCTAGAAGCCAGGGCTGGGTCGGAGGGAGTTTCTCCAAGGGGTTTAAAGGCTCCCCGCTGTGCTCGCTCCCCAGTTACAATAGTATTGGGTTACTGAATGAGGACTAGATTGTCTGTTTACATGGAGAAAAAGAAGCCAACAGCAAAGAGGCTGAAGGAAAGATAAGATTTTTATGGCTCTGAACTCATTTGTGTATTATTCTTTATAAAAAGCATTTACCTACCATGGCAGTATTTTAGAACAAGGCTTTTAGTTTGGCTTTTTTTTTTAATTAAAAAAGAAAAACATTGCTCTTATTTCTGACCATATTACTGTCTGCACTTTTGTTGGGTTTGGGGACATGGAGGCTCTCCGTATTGTACCCCTCAACCTTGCCACTTCCATTGCTGGGGGAAAGGAAAACGGGTAGAGCTGAGGAAGAGGTGCCATGTTCGAGTCTTTTTCCTTTTTTCTTTTTGATCCTGAGTCCCCAGGCTGCTCCTACTTCAGCATCTGCTTGTTGTATTGGGTGATGGAATCAAGTTAGAGATGAGGAAACTGAGGCACGGCATGGTTATATGCTTATCTTCAATCCTTCAGGAGCATATGACAAGGTGAAATGAGAGGCAGAACTCCAGCTTTGAGTCTGGGTGGAGACCTAGTAGGTCATGTTGCTTCTGCCTTAGAAATTGGTTAGGCCTGTGAGTGGCTTGCTCTCCTGCCCCCAAAAGAAACCTCTACTTTGCACTTGCAAAATTATTTATACCAGAAAGGTTACATCCTTTGAAAAAATGGCTTAGGAAATGGAAAGTAGCCAAGAGTGACCTAAAGAAAGGAATTATTTAGTGCTCATATATATGAATTTTATAGGTATATTGCTCTAAAACATCGCAAGGTTAGTTATGAGCAAGAGATTTTCAATGATGTGAATGGTGATACATGTGGTTGGCATTCTTCCTGGTGGTTCTAACTCACCTAAACACTCCAACTTTATCCATCCATATGCAAACCCTAAATGGTGAAGAACAGGAAATATCTAGGGTCTGGTGAATGAAAGTCCACAGGTTCCTGGTGGGGAGAGAAAATATTTGTTTCAAGTATGGAGAGGTAACATTAGCCAGACTGTGATAGATGCATCAACAAACACACACGCACAAGTTGGAATATACCCTCAAATGTTGGGGAGACGAATGTTAGGCAAATCTTGTTGATGTGCCTAAAAAAAATAAATAAATAAAAAATAAAGCTAAGTGGGGTATGGTGGAATCATATAAAGGGAAGAATTAGAAAACAAGTCTGGGAAAAGAAATTCTGGGAAGAAACAGCATAATTGATGCTCATTTCTCCCTTCGAGAGTTTAAAATAGTAGATTCTTATGTGAAATTAGGGAAAATGTAAAGAATCTGAAATTTACTAAGCAGAAGTTAATTTTTCTTTGGAGAGAAGGCATGTGAATTAATGAATATAAACCTGCATTAAAATGGAGAGAAAATTATAAGCAGAAAGAGGGAGAAGGACAAGCAGGATAATTGTTTTTTAAAATTCAGCCTAAATCTTACTCTGTCTCAAAGTATTTAGTGTTTCCATCTTAGAGTATGTAGTGTTTTAAATATCGCTTTTTGAGGAAATTGATTTGAAGCTATTTAAGCCTTTTGAAATTTAGAAAGTTTAGAGTTTAGATTTTTTTTCACGTTTATTGAAAATTTAGACTATAGAAACTATGTATAAGACAGGCATTATTATGTATTAGAGAACATCTTAAAACAGATAAGGATAGTTAATAACTTAAATATATTGAAAGAGTATTAAAATTATTGAGTCATAAATAAGACCCACAAGATATGTAAATGGCAGAATAAAATGCAGAACAACTAAGTATAAGAAGCAACTATCTTGTGATGGTTCTGTGATAAAATTTAAAACAGGATGATTTTTAAATTGGCAGCTTTGATTTAATTTAATTACATTTAAGCCTTGCTGTCTTAAATTAGGACTCGAAAAATTCAAATATCCATCGTCTAATATTATAATTTTTTACGGAGTGGAAGTGATCATAATCATTAACCTCTATATTTTTCATTTTTATAGGAAAATGTCAAAAGTTTTATCTCCTGAAGAATCAGGGAGACTTTAAATGTGAAAGTTTTCATCTTTAGGTAAGGAAATGTTTTCTATTTTTTATCCATCTGTTGAAAGAGAGCATTTCAATTAGAGGAGATAGGTAACATGTACTTAAGCTTTATCTATCCTAAGCTGATATAAAACATTATAAAGATGATAGAAATCCAGATTTTTAAGTTAAATAAAAAAAATTAGTTGGAAATTTTTCATTTAAAAAGATCAAATTTTCTGGAAAAAAGACCTTTTTTTGTACTTTCTAATATATTGACATAGAGTATTCCCATCATCCCTCTTTTCCAAATATTTAAGACATAACAAAATTAAAATTATTTTGAGCAAAATTGGGAACAAGAGATTTTTCAGACACCCAGAATATTCCTAAACATAAATGTCAACATATGTGACAATAAAAAAATAGATATTTTATAAATTTGAAAGATTGGTCACTGCTTTAAAAGCAGGCCAGTGAATTAAAGTTAATTAAAATGTGAACAGTAGCAGAGAAGCTTAAACCCTGGGATACAATCACATGCTAGGAAAATATTGCTTTGTAGGGTCATAATGTAAATATAAACAACTTGTTTAATTAGGCAAGAGCCTGTCCTTTGCATGTGACCTCTTTTCATTTTTTGTTTGTGTCATCCTGGTAACATAAGAAAAAAAAAAAGACTAACTTTTGGAGCATATTAAAATATTAGCAACTCAATCTATTTCGGGCAGTAATTCTATTAGTGCAGTTTGTTTGCACGAACAGTATAAATAACATATATGAAAATCAGATGCTTTAAAGCAAATAAACTAAAAATTCAATTAAAGCATCTAAACATTTAAAGATGCTTTGAAGTATTACATAAAGTTAAAAGAATGAAAGAAGTAGTTGTAGAAATTATACATAGAATCTGTTGTTAAGATATGGAAATTTGCACATTCTGGCTTTGTCACCAATAATGTTTGGAAAAAGAAATAGATTGCAATGTTTGTCTTCTGTTAACATACATTCTCAAGAGCAAATAAGATTTTCCTAATTTTAAAAACATTAATACAAGTACATATGGATACTTTTAAAACCATAGTATAGAGGTTTAATTTTTTAAGAAATACATGTGAAACTCATGTGATTAAATAGAATCTACAAACTTTGGGAGAACAATTCTAAATTTTTTTTGTCTGAATTTGAAGAATTCATTTCTAGAATAAATTTGTTTTCTCCTTATAAAGACACTCATATTAATATTAAGCATACAGGTTAAAACTTACTTAAATTACTTAATTAGGATATACTAAACTTCTAAGTTATTTTTAAAAGAATTGTGCTAATCTAAAAAATTATAAAATTATTTTAATGTAATCTTTAAATAAAACCCTTTAATGTATCAGTTTTTAAATCTTATATTTCGAAGGATAAAATAGAAGAAAAAATTACTAACTTCCTATTGGTAAATATAATCTCAGAGACTGAGAGGAGAGTTGTAAGCATGTAAAAAGTAAACAAGGAGATCAGTTTCATATCTGACTTGTTTTTAAGCCTTTCTTATGAATCACATATTTTAACATCAGGAGAATAATATATAAAATATGCATTTAATTTTTATGGTCTGACAGCTATTAAAAAATAGAGGGAAAATGCAACATTGCCTAGCTAAATTCTAACTAAAGTGTTAAGTGAAAATCAGAAAAATACAGAAACTAAAATAGTATAATGAACTAAAATTCAAAATATATGTGTATATATACTTTTTAACATCTCGGTATATAGCATTTATATTAACTGCTAATGAAACTATATGCTAAAACCATGAGTAAAAAAATTAATGATGGAGAAGTATTTTTTCACTGTAGGTTACTAGATCAAAAAAATTACTAAGAAGCTAAATGTAATATTAAGGAACATTTAAAATAAAAGTTTGCTGTAGATGTATCTTTCCAACTAGGCTTTTGGGTTTTGCATGTGTAGTAGGATTTCTAAGTTTTGTGATTTAAAATTCAAGATATATTTTGAGTGCCCTTTCAATAGCAAAATGTTTTTGTAGCAAAATCAGACATTTTGTACATTTTGTTTTATATATGCGTATGAGAAAAAGAGCAGATACTTTGGGAGAATTTTGGCTGTTGTTTTAATGCATCCATTAAATACCAAACAATTATTTTGTCTGTCAGTCAGTTATACGTCTAGGCAAGTTACAGTTTGTGTAAGTACATCTCAAATATTTAACCTTTATTGACGATACAGTGATCTCTAAATGCGAGTGTCATATTTACTGAAATTTTGGGCAATGTATTTAAAAGAAATTTATTTTAAAACTTATTTTTAATTAGAATGTGAAAGACTGAAGTTCTTTCGTGAGTAAAATATATGATTGTGCAGTTTTCTGAAAGAATGAACTCTTAGTTTAATTTTCAAATTATCTTCAAATGTTCCTTATTTGTTGTTTACTGATTAATTTTAAAGTCAGAAAGGAATAAAGCAGCAGTATATGCTATTTCTGATCACCTATCAGTAGAGAGGGAGAAAGAGAAAGCAAAGTATGTTGGCACAATGGAATTTCCCCTTTAAAAAATTAACTTGAAATTGAAAAGATACGTTCCCCATAACTAATTTTTCTTATTAGGACTTATTTGGAATTGCATGAATTTTCCGAATCAAAATATTTGAGAAAATTTGTCTTATAAAATGGAGAGATGTAGGACATTGTAGTCAGATATAGGATAGCCTTTTTCTCTTGTTGAGTCCCAGAACTTAGAAAACAGATTTTAAATTAATAATATTGAGTACCAAAATCTCTGGGCTATAATAACTTGGAAAAATGACATAAAATTATAAAGGCGAAGGGGAAATTTAATTGAAGTTAGATGTACCTTTTAAATGATAAACATTTGGCACTGGGAGGCGTGCTCTGGAGATAACAAATAGTACTCTGTCAGAGAATTCTCTGGGCAGCTGAGGTTCTTTATGTGATAAGGGAAAACGGCGAGATAGCATCACTGTAACTGCTTTACAGAATTTGCAAAGTTTCGGACGGTGAGGGTGAAAGTAAGAGCAACAATTGGGTGTAGGGAGAGGGGGAGAGCTGGCCAGCTCCAGCGCCACGACAGGGTTAACCGTGGCGTCGCCCGATGCACTCTGGGAGTTGTAGGCCGCGGGCATTGTGGGAGTTGTCGTAAAAGTTCGTTTCCTTGTTGTGATGGCCGCCGCCGGGGCAGGTGTTGAGGGTTTCTGTCGTTCTGGACGGCTTGGGGCTCTCTGTACCGTCAGAAGGCCACCAGCAGCCCCCAGGTTTCCGAGAGCCTGTTAATTGTGTGCCTGGGAAGTGGGCCAGGGGCCTGACTGGTTAATGTTGGGGCCTGTTGTCGCTAGATTGGCCAGGGGGCCTTTGGCGGCCCTGGGCTCGGTGAGGGTCTCCATTCTGATGGACCCTGGCCGTCTGGCCTTCTGCCTTCGAAATATCTTGGTGGCCAGCACCTAAACATTTGGGGGTGGGCTTTGTTTTGTTGTAGTTTGTGTCCTGCGCCCCTCTCCACATTTTTGTAAACAGCGTTCAATTCGGTCCATGTAGTCGTTGATGTTCACGACGCTGTTTGGGGTTAATTGGACTCGTTTTCTTGGGTTTGGCGTAATTTATTCAAGAGCTGGGATGGTGAAAGGTGTGGACAGCAATAATATGGGTGTTGCCTGTCTTATCGTAGGCGTAAGAAATTGTGTGAGTTAGGAGCGTGTTTATGAATGTGTGCTTCGCTTTCTCTTGCATGTCGTGAACCGTTCTCTGTTTTGCTAATCCTGAGAGGCAATGTCAGGCAGTTGTGAAATGTTTTTCTGTTAACTTGGATGTGTTCTTAAAACTTTGGAGACTCCAGAGGACTGTTTTGCAGTTGTTCGTGGAAAAGTATTGTGTGCAAAAGTGCATTTAAAACAAATGCCGGCATCACAAGTACCTTTAGTTCTAAAGAGCAAGCCCCTTGAGCTGCTCTGGTGCTGTGAAGTTGTGTGGGTACTTTTATGAGAATCAGGTTTGCTTTTAGGTACTCACCTTAGTCTTGGCTCACGGTGTTGCTCTGCATGTTGGACACTTTCACCTTCTTTGTTACTGGGTACTCAGCTTGAGGCAAAGTGAGACAGTACTGACATGTAACTGCATGCAAGATAATTAGGATAACACTGACTTGCCAAGCAGATCACTACTTACCTTACCTGGATGTACAAACCTAGACCTCACTATTTCTGCCACCAAGTACAACTATATAAATTCTGCTTTATTTCAACAGTCTGATTGTTGTCTGTGTAACTTGAAGCCTAACTAGTTATAAAAAGCTGTTTTTCATACAGTTCTATTCAAAAGCAGTTTTTCCCCTACAAGTAGAACTGGTGTCTAGAAAGTTTTTCACTCAAGTTCGGTAAAGTAGGGGATTTAGAGTAAGATACAAGAGTGGTTTTGGAAATCAGCTATCAGTTTTTAATTTGGGGTCAGGACACATGATGATTTATAGAGAGAATGAAAAAAAATTATGTTCCATTTTTTTCTTGGTATTTTAGAGCTTGGAAAATCTGTCTCATTGCATTGGGCCACTTTCATATATCATTAAAAAGCCCTTTGATGAACTGGGTTTTCATAATTCCCTTATCTGAGTTTGCTTAGTACTTGACTACTTGAAATTATAGTAATGGTAGAGAAAGGAGCAAAGCTGGGTCGGTTTGTATGTGTTTCAGCTGAATGTGATTTCATATATAGATTGAATAGACTAATTTTGTTGGCATGCTAGTTAGGTCTCAGGAAAGTATTGCCTTCCTTCTGACCTGATTGCAGTGTGTCTTAGAATAATAACCAACTTGCCAATTGAAAAAAGATTGGGAAACCTATTTGAAAATGATGTATATTTTCAATATTCTTGTTTGGAGAAGGAGTAAAATACTGGTGAGTTGGTTTTGTATCTTAGGAAAACTAGATGGCTAGAATTTGTAAATTTGTAAAATCATTCAGAATTATTCAAAACCATCCACAACCACACTTTGATTTGAAAGACATTGCATAAATTTTTAATT